TAAAGCATATTTAATAAATCAAGAAACAAAACCAAAAAGATTAGCCATGAAAACAAATTAAAAGGGTGGAAACAAAAAGAAGAAACATGTTATGTACATGTTTTTGAAACGAAAGGGAAGACTATTCACATGTTATGCTAGAAACGGAAGGTTCAACGTTAAGAGTGACTTACCTTGCTTGAAGCTGGAACGTGTGTTGGACCTTGAGTGGCTGCCCTGAGTGTTTCTGGATTCGAAGGGAGGAAACAGGGGTTATGCCTTTAGTGCTGTATTCGAAGGTCAGGAGATGTGAAGGATGGTTTCAGACTCGAAAGAGAAAAAGAAAACAAGGGTTGTGTTTCTTTAGATTCGAATGACCAAGGAAACAGGTGTAGTGTTTCTTCTGGATTCAAAGGGTCAAGAAAAAAACAAGTGTTATGTTTCTTCTGGATTCTGGGTTTGAATATGTGTTTAAGTGTTTGAGAGTGTTTTAGTTTTTCTTGAGAGCTTTTGAGAGTTTGATGATTGAAGATTCGTTCCACTCCTAAGTCTTTGGATGTGTGTCCAGCCCCTTTAAATGTTATGGAGCTTATTATTTATAGGCAAAGCTGGCTGAAGTTTTAGAGGGAAAATAAAACAATTTAAAAATTTGAGTAAACTGCTTTTTGTAGCTTTCGATGGGCAGTACTCGTATGCCATTTTGGTGAAAAAATAGGGCAGTGTTTCAGGACTGCTGTGCAGCCGTTTTGGAGTGTTATGGCTAGTGTACCAGGCCTGAACTTGGCAGTAAGCATCTTTTGAATATTTCATCCTTTCATTTTGACCCCCCTTCGACCAGATTCTTCTTCCAACAATGTTATTTGATTTTCCTCTAACAAGTGTCCTTCGAATGGGTCACTTTTGTGCATCCTTCGAAGGAGCCAAAAGTGTGCCCCCTTGGATGGGTCACCAAAGTGTGCCTTAAGGTGGGTCTTATAAGTCCTTCGAATGGGCCATCAAACGTGTCCTTCGAATGGCACACCCATACATGTCCCTTGAATGGGTCATGTATGTATCTTTGAAAGGACCAAATGTGTCCTTCGAATGGACTAGTGAGGTATATCCTTCGACAGGGACTCCTATGTATGTCCTTCAAATCCACCAATCATGTATGCTGAAGGTTGTCAAGGATGGAATTAAAGCATACTAAAGGGAAATGTGTCCACTCGAAGCTAGCGTAAACATAGCTAATGCCCTGTCGAAGCCTGCATGCAGGAGGTTTAAACTTTGTGACTCAAAGCAAGCACACAAGAGGCCAATGCTCAAACGAAGACTTGCATGAAGGGAGTCACATGCCCAAATGAAAGAGGCATGTTAGGCTGGAAAAAATGTGCAACCGAAGGATGCCAAAAGGAGGCTTTTTGCCTTGGAATCGAAGGGGCTACAAGAGGCTATTTCCTTGTGCTTACTAGCCTAGTGGGAGCCTCTTGCGTGCAAGAAGGAATCTGTGGATCAATCGAAGGCTACATATAGCCAGCCATCGCAAGCATGGAGGGGAATATTTTTCCAGTCAACACAGGCATGCAAGCAAACATCCAATCGAAGCAGGCACATAGGCAGCCATTGTATTATGAACCATGTGAGGCCAAAGATGCAATCGAAGGTTGCATACATGAAGCTCCTGCCTTGTGAATCAAAGCCAGTGTGCCAGAGGCCCGTGCCCAGTCGAAGGATGCAAGCCAAGCTTGCATCAAAAGATGCCAGAAGTCCAATCGAAAGATGTGAATCGAAGGAAACTTGTTTTTCCTTCAATTTTGTCAAAAAGATTATTTTTATCTGTTTTCCCCTTTTTTAACAGTTTCCTTTTTAACTTGATACTGAAAAATCCAATTGTACTTGTGCAAGCTTGAATCTTGAGAATCCTTGTGAGAAATGCCTTGAGGAATGGAGGGAAAATTTTGGGGTACAACAATCGTATCCTCCGAAAAAAATTAATTAACATGGGTAAGTATCTTTTATGCAAACATTAGATGCTCGTTGATAGTATACCATTATATTAACCAATATTTTTTGTAACATGTAGGATATGCGCTGAACCAACCAACGTTTAAATATTATCGTAATCAAATTGGGATGACTAATGATGATGCTTTGAGGTGGATAAACAAAATTCTAGTTAAAAAATGGACGAGAGCATTTGACAAGGGTCATCGTTGGGGGCACATGACAACAAACCTTGTTGAGTCACTAAATTTTGTATTTAAAGGCACTCGTAATCTGCTCATCACAGCGTTAGTAAGTGCAACATACTATAGGATGAGAACGCTTTTTTTTGAAAGGGGTGTAAAGTGGAGTGCAGTTTTTAATTCTGGACAAACATTTACAGAGCGGTGCGTGAAGGTGATGAAAGAAGAGACATCAAAATCCGCCACGCATCAGGTAATAATTTTTTATTACAATAATAACACTTTCAGTGTGAAGGAGACAATTAACCACGGTGAGGGGAAGCCATTGGGACGTTACAAGGTCAGCCTAATGGGTGGATGGTGTGACTGCAGAAAGTTTCAAGCATATTGTGTTCCTTGTTCACATGTTATCGCTGCATGTTCTGTTGTGCGCCAAGACGCCTTTCTTCTATTGTCTGACGTTTACAAGGTGACGAACTTATTTGGGGTTTACAGCATGAGCTTTCCAGTTCTACCATGCGATGAGTATTGGCCCACTTATGAGGGAGATCAAATTTTCCATAATCCAGTCATGCGGAGGAACAAGAAAGGCCGTCCTGTGAGCACCCGTATTACAATAGAAATGGACACATATGATAAGTTGGAGAGAAAATGCACATTGTTTCGTCTTCCAGGTCACAATCGAACACGATGCCCCAATGTAGGAACTAGTAATAATTAGTTAGTCATTTTGTTATCAATCTTCAAAATTGTATGTATAATGACGCCAAGAAATTATGTTTCATTCCACTAATACTTTTGCATTTAATATAAATAACAAATAAAAAAAAACAACACATAAATTAAAATACTTAGACAAATAGTAGAACTTAGCAACAACATTAAACCTAAACAATATCAACATGTTCAAACAATGACATAAGCATTTCTAGGATATTACAACCAGCAACACAATATGTTTTTGTTGAAGCATCATCATAAGAACACATGCATCGTTGTGAACAAGTCTCCAAGAACGAGTGGGTCCATTTAAGTCGGGCACCGTAACTAGCCTATCAATTTTCCAGATCTTTTCACCTTGGGCAATTTCTTCCCCTAACCATCCCTCCAAGTGCCTATGCAGATGCTCAAATGTCTGCGTGTTCAACAACTTAATCTTCATCGGAGGCTTTACAGGAGAAAAATCAGTTCAGCGTCTCTTTTCATATATGGAAACTTTGGAAACTCTCCGGATGTTGAAGACATTTTTAAGATAGAACTAAAGAAAAATATTTTAAGTGTAGCTAGGATCATTCAACGTCAATGGTATTTATAGTTCACAGCAAAAAATTTAAAATAATAAATAAAACCCTCAGCCCATTGCAGTGGCGGAGCCGTACTGAAATAATAAAATAATGAGAGCCTCCGCCCATTGCATTGGAGGAACCGTACTTAAATAATAAAATAATAAAACCCTCCCTCCATTGCAGTGGTGGAGCTGTACTGAAATAATAAAATAACGAGAGTCTCCGACCATTGCACTGGCGAAACCGTACTTAAATAATAAAATAATAAAACTCTCCGCTCATTCTAGTGGCGGAGCCGTACTGAAATAATAAAATAACGAAAGCTTTCGTCCATTGCACTAGAGGAACCGTACTTAAATAATAAAATAATAAAACCATTCGTCCATTGCAGTGGCGGAGCCGTACTGAAATAATAAAATAACGAGAGCATTCGTCCATTGGACTGACGAAACCGTACTTAAATAATAAAATAATAGAACTCTCCGTCTATTGTAGTGGCGGAGCCGTACTGAAATAATAAAATAACGAGAGTCTCTGTCCATTGCACTGACAGAACCATACTTAAATAACAAAATAACGAAACATTTCGTCCATTGTACTGGGGAACCCATATTTATTTATTACTATAATTAACATTTATTTTAATTTAAACATATTTTTAAATATTAATTTTAATATTGATTTTTAATTTAATGATAATTTTTATTTATTTTTAATATTATATTAAAAAAAATGACATATAAACAGCTTCGTCAATCTAATGGGTGAAAGCTGTGTAAAATAAAAGTCATCCGCTCATCTAATAAACAGAGTCTTCTATTTTTATTTTTATTTTTGTTTTGAAAAATAATATATTAGGAATATGAATTAAAATGGATAGTAATATAAGAATTAGTTTAAAAGAGTGATATATTGGTAAAAACTTCTCAATGGAGTACTTACCAATAGATTTAAAAATGGAGGGACTATATTAAACTAGCAGAAAAGTACACGTCAGTACTAATCAATATCTTCAACCACCCATTTTCGGTTGCATTTATGTTTTGCTGGCGTATCATAATCTTAGTCAAACTATCTCAATTCATGGCAATTTAATTTTAATAAAAAAACTCACTCAAGATAAACAAATTTAAAATAATAAAAAAATCAGTATTTTTTTATATGATAATTATCCATTGAACCTCACCTCATAACTCATATGATACACAAACAATTTGACAAGTGCCAGCCTTTCTAACCTGTATTCAGTCACATCATTGTTCTCAATTACCTTTCTTTCATTGCAACACTTTGCTTTCAAACCGTTGCTAAAGATCCATACCAAATATTCAACCATGTCTTTCCTCACACTTCCTCAAACCCTCTTACCAAAATCTTCTATTTGTGAAACCAAGACTCACTCACCATCATGCTAAGGTAAACCTTAGTTGGTCAATTCAAGAGTCAACAAAGTTTCTTTTCATCCTTGTCTTTTCATATTGTTTCTTTCTACACTATGTTGTCAAGGTAGAAAACATTCACCTTAAAAAGTGTTTTTCTTTTTTATGTTGGAGAATTGAACTACAAAACCATGCAAAATCATAGGACTTGGTTGTGTTTATGTATCCTACTTTTGTCTAAAGTAGTTTTGGTTTTCTGTGGTATTCAATGGATTGGGAAGATCTCACCTGGATTTGGGGGGTCACAGATGAATTGGATTGATAAGAATGGAAAGTTTCTTGTCTCAAACAAAAAACAATTTGGTTTTGGCTTTGTCACATCTTCACACAACAACACATTGTTTAATCTTGCAATAGTCCACATGGATAGCACCAAAATCATTTGGACTGCAAATAGAGAATCTGCTGTTTCAAGTTCTGATAAATTTGTGTTTGATGAAAAGGGTAATGTTTTTTTACAAAAAGGAAAGTTTTTTATTTGGTCAACAAACACAAGTAACATGAAGGTTTCTTCAATGAAGTTACAAGATAATGGAAACTTAGTTTTGCTTGGAAATGATGATAGTGATGTGATTTGGCAAAGCTTTGATCATCCAACAGATACTTTGTTGCCAATGCAAAACTTCACCAAGGGAATGAGACTTATCAGTGAACAAGATTCTTCTAACAATTTGAGTTATGTGCTTGAAATTGAATCTCATTCTGGTAATGTTGTTCTTTCCAGTGGTTTACAATCTCCACAAAGTTATTGGTCTATGCAAAAAGATATCCGAAGAATCGTCAATGAGAACGGCGATGATGTTGCTTTTGCAACTCTTGATGCAAATTCATGGAAATTCTATGATAATAAGAGATCTTTGTTGTGGCAATTTATCATTGCTGATGATGTTTCAAATGCAACATGGATTGCGGTTTTGGGAAGTGATGGATTTATTACTTTCATGAATCTTCAAAACAAAAACTCAATTGCTTCATCAACAAGAATACCACAAGATTCTTGTAGTACACCACAGCCTTGTGGTTCTTACAATGTATGCTTTGGTGACAGAAAATGTACTTGTCCTTCTATTCTTAGCTCTAGACCTAGTTGCGAACCGGGTTTTGCTTCGCCTTGTAACTCGAAAAATTCTATTGAGTTAGTGAAAGGTGATGATGGACTTAATTACTTTGCTCTTGGATTTCTTCAACCTTCTTCGAAAACCGATTTGATTGGTTGCAAAAATTCTTGTAGTGAGAATTGTTCATGTCTTGCTATGTTCTTTCATGGGAGTTCAGGTAACTGTTATATGTTAGATAGGATTGGAAGCTTTGTGAAAACTGATAATGATACTGGTTTTGTCTCTTACATTAAAGTCTCAAGAGACAAAAGCACTGACACGGACACGGACACGGAAGAGAACGGAAACAAGAATAAGCAGACAATAGTTGTTCTGATCATTGTGGTATTAACATTGTTTGTCATTTCTGGCATGATCTATGTGGGACTAAAATACATAAAGAAAAAGGAAAATTTGTCTGAACCTCCAGCCGAAGATTCAGACAACGATGACGATTTCTTGGAGAGTTTAACTAGTATGCCAATCCGTTTCACCTACAACGATCTAGAAGCGGCGACGAATAACTTTGCGGTGAAGTTAGGTCAAGGTGGTTTCGGCTCTGTTTATAAGGGAAGTCTTTCAGATGGAACACAAATAGCTGTGAAAAAGTTAGAAGGAATAGGTCAAGGGAAGAAAGAATTTAGAGTTGAAGTTAGCATTATTGGAAGCATTCATCATCATCATTTGGTAAGGCTTAAAGGGTTTTGTGCTGAAGGATCTCATAAACTTCTTGTTTATGAGTATATGGAAAATGGTTCCTTGGATAAATGGATATTCAAAAAAAGAGAACAATCTTTGGATTGGAACACAAGGTACAACATTGCACTAGGAACAGCTAAAGGACTAGCTTATCTACATGAAGATTGTGATTCAAAGATTGTTCATTGTGATATCAAACCAGAAAATGTGCTTTTAGACAATAATTTTGAAGCCAAAGTATCTGATTTCGGTCTCGCGAAACTCATGAACCGCGAACAAAGCCATGTTTTCACAACAATGAGAGGAACAAGAGGGTACTTAGCACCAGAATGGATCACAAACTATGCTATATCAGAGAAAAGTGATGTTTATAGCTATGGAATGGTGCTGTTAGAGATAATAAGTGGAAGGAAAAACTATGATGCTAATGAAAATTCGGAGAAATCGCATTTTCCTTCTTATGCTTATAAGATGATGGAACAAGGGAAGGTGGAAGATTTGGTTGATCATGAGATGAAAATGTGTGAAAATGATGTGAGAGTTGAGATTGCTTTGAATGTTGCATTTTTGTGTATACAAGAAGATATGAGTTTGAGGCCTTCTATGAATAAAGTTGTGCAAATGCTTGAGGGTTTATGTGATGTTCCTAAGGTACCAAAAGGTTCTCCATTAGGTTCTAAGTTTTATTTGAATTTGCTTAGACCTACAAGTGAGAGTGGAACTTCTTCAGAACCATTAGAGGGGTATAGTGATGCATATCTATCTGCTGTTAGGCTTTCAAGACCAAGATAAAAAGTATGTGTAACATTTTTTATTTATTATAACTAGTGTTTTTTGTTTTTTGTTTTTTGTTTTTTCTTTGGTGTTATTGAGGGAATTCAAGTGTACAAAGTCTAATTAGTGTCATCAATTTTAGAAACATATGTTTTTGAATTTTGACACCAAGAAGTATAGTAATAGATGCTTTTATATTTTTATGTGAGCGATAGAGAGAATCTTTATTTCAAAGTAAGAGGCTTTACCAATAGGTAGTTACCTTTTTCTTTAGGAAATACATACATCATATCCTACCACAATAGCTAGTTACCATTATCTCATTATATTAGTTATAAGGTTGCAAAATTCCTTTATACAAAAAATTCCCACAAAAAGAAATAAAATTTACTCATACGGGCGGGGTTGGGCCAGCAGTAGGCCCAACAACGAACATGTTCAATTATCCGTCTAAAAGCATATCTACGAAAGAGTTGAGGGTTTAGTGTATCTGTAACTATTTGATCCATATCATAGGTGACTACCCACCGTTAGATATGATCTAACGGACTCCTGTGTTCCGCTTCATGAAATAAAGAGTGGTTCTAACCGCCTTCTACATATAATATATCCCACAACAAATCTACAGATGCATTTTTACCATAACTTATTACATTATTTGGATTGACCGTTAGGGTGCTAACTGTAACGCCTCAGATTGTTTTCAGAATTACCGACTGATCCCACAAATCAACACAAGTATTTTCAGTATGCTTTGTCCTCACTTCCACGTTTTTCGGGAAACTTCTCATAAAGTCACTCATCTAAATACTACTACAAGTCAAGCACATTTAACTATGATGTTCTTATTTGTTAAGCTCGGGAAAAAAAGATGCATCTTGTTGGTATAGCTAGTACCAATCAATCCTTATAATCCTTCCTTCAACCATGGAGTTAAATATCGGCACAACCTTTGGATCCATCTCATTCCGATGTGAATTCGACGATAACTTTTTGCCCTCTTCGACCTTAGGTGTTACATTTATTCTTCACCCTTTTCGGCCTCGGGTGTTACATGTCCACCAGCTTCTACTTGCTTCGTCCCCGAACCAAATCGTACTGGGAGAGGTCGGCTCTGATACCATTTGTAACGCCTCAAACTGCTTTTAGTATTAGCAACTGACCTCACAAACTAACACACGTCTTTTCAACATACTTTGTCCTTACTCCCACGTTTTTTGGAAAACTTCTCAGAAAGCCATCCATCCAAATACTACTCCAAGTCAAGCATGATTAACTATGCTTTATTTTTAGTTGTTAGTCTACCAAAAAGAAGATGCATTTTGTCGGTATAAGTAATGTAACACCTCGCTTTTCCCAATAGTATAATTATAATAAAAGTACACAGAATATATCAGAGTCCACAAGCAGAATGTCACATACTTCAAAAATTCATAAAGTCTTAAGTCACTTTATTACTGAATTTCTCATAAAATCAATTTAACAGCGGAATAATTAAATTAGTTTTGTTCCATGGTATTGCATCCTCAACAACAAATAAAACTCCATAAAAGTGTGGTCCATCATAAGTATAAAGATGAGATATGTAACGAATTTAATTAAAAAAAAATACAAAAACATAGAAAGTTTTTGAATCCCGTGTTACTTATCAGAGCAACTCCTATGACTCGATCAGGCAACACTCACTCCAAGCACTACTCAGGTACTTGGTCATCTGTACTCCCCAAGGGGCACAGACACAACAACACAAAAAGGGTGAGAATTATATTTCATAAATATACGAAGAATATCACATGCTAATGAGTAGTAATTCACAAATACACATAAATCACAGTTCATCCAATACATCACAACATATTCCTCGTGCATATAATACAATATCAACTTAAGATAGTGCAATGTAATGCAACTGACGACAACTTAATGCATGTGGTTCCAACAGGGCATAAGCCCCCAACATAGTATCAATTGGGCAACACCAGGGCATAAGCCCTCAACATAACGCCATCACAGGCCAACAACAAGGCATAAGCCTTCACCAATGAAATGTATGCATTATCATCATACAGCAACACGCGAATCCACACAAAGGTTATATATTTTAATCTTATTTCCACTATTACTAGCCTTCATATGCTTACCTAAGTCATACTAGTTCTTAAGAATAAAAAAGGATTGCACTGCATGCAAAAATGGGAAAGAAATCACAAAAAATGGATTTTCTGCACATCAGTCTGTCCATACGCGTACCATACACGTTTGGCTTCTCCCTCTCCCATATTGTAGCGGTAGAAATGTTTAAGACTAAGCCATTAGATTAACTAGACTTTATACAAATCAAAAATAAAAATCGCCACCGCGCTTTATTGTTTCCAAAGAAATGGGAAAAGAGTGAATAACCCAAAAAGGGGGAAAGATTCAAGGTAAGGGGGTTGGTTATGCAAAGGGAAGGTATTAGCACCCTAAACATCTACGGTACTCCACAGGAACCTCTTTGTAAAATCTGTATATTTTGGCTATAAAAAATGTGTTATATATAAAATGGATGGTGGAGGTGAGAAAAGAAATATATTTTTATGATTTTTGCACCCGCCGCGGTTGCGAACCTTTAGTGCCTACGTACCACCTTTCGTGCAATAGGGGATCATGGTACATGTAGTTACTCTTTTAAAAGTTTGAAACACAAGTGTGTTGGTTATTTTTATGAGATAAAACATCATCGTCATTGTCCGTGTGGAAAATGTACTTACTACCCACAATCATGAGAAAGGAGAATTTGTATCATCTCAAAGTGGAGGATATGGCTTGGATTTTAAAATCAACAATGCCTCACTCAATACCCAAGTGGAAAATATCTCTCTTCACTACATATTATAGAAGTATAGTTGTTTACATCACTACAAGGATTGACAAGAGTCTGATCTTTTAAGAAAAGTTTAAAGATAAAAATCAAAGTGGAAAAATGGTTTGAAATGAGATTGGTTGACTTTTAGTCTTCTCATAAAAAAAGGTGTCAAAGTATTATTAAGTTGATTGGGGGTTTATTTATAAAAATGTTTGAAAATGCATGGACATAAGTCCAAGTTTATTATGAAGATGTTTCAAGTTTAGAAAAACAAGAAGAGTTTTCAAAAGGAGGAAGAAGATTTTTGAAATTAAAGAAGATGGGAGGAGAAGAAGGGACTATCCTAAAGCATAAGGTAAAAGCTAGAGATAAGAACCATCTAACCAACAAGAAGCCAAAACTTGACATTATGAGCCAATATAGAATTCTCATTCCTTGGATTGAAACCAAGCAAGCAAAGATACTAGACCTCTTCAAGTGTATTAAACCTTCACAGAAATTGGGCAGAGTAACGGTTGTATACGGATGAATTCCAGATTACAAACAAAGAGTGTAATCACAAAAAACCTGCACACAAAAACAAACAAGCAACCCAATGTCTTGAGGTAAACCTCAAGAATTCCAGACAAAATAATCAGATAAGATCACAAGGTCTCTGAGATAGGCCAAGATTTCTAATCCTAAGTCCAAAAAAGGTCCACTGCTCCATAATGCCAAGGATAGTAACCAAATAGTCCAAGTGCCATTAAGAGTTTTTTAGGGTTTAAGTTGATTATTAAGTATTTTAGAAAAAAGAAAAGAAAAGCTCAAGTGAGCAAAATAAAAATGACAAGAATAATAAATGCTCAAATGAGCAAAGATAAAAATGGCATGAAATGTAAAATGCTAAAAGTAAATGGTACATAAAGCATAAAAATAATAAAGCAAAAAATAAACAAGTCAATAATTAGTGGTTAGTTGGATGTCCATCTTGAAACTTGCATTTGGAACTCATTAGAGGATTGGTAGAACCAAAGCCTCCACACAACAAGTTGCATTTGCTTTTTGTCAAGTATATCATCCATTTGGAATTCTCACAAGTACCATTTAATGATCAATGATGTTTAAGTGATCCGCATTGACCAAAGGTGTTGTAGATCCATTAGAGGATTCGTAGAACCAAAGCCTCCACACAATGAATCTCAAGGTTATTGGATCAAAGAGATCAAATTAACATACTTGGGCTTACAATCATAAGTTTGGGCCACGAATGATCATTTATTCGAATCGGGACAAAATTTAACGCTATGTTAAGCAATCGTAAGTGGACTTATATAGAAGTCGCACCTATTTTGAGGTCGGCCAATAGCAATCTATGCACCATTTGTTTTGAGACATGATATAGAGATCATGCTCCAACAACATTTAGTGCAATGAGAATGGGATAAGATGAAGAGGGATTAGGGTAAAAAGAGAAACCACATTTGAATTATTATTTAATCAAACTATTATTAAAAGCATTCATCCATTTTTTGTGGAGTTAAACTCAACACCATGGATCCAATGATGTTAATAAAGCCATGACCAAAAAATCAACCCAAGACAGCCAGAAAATGTTCACAAAATAATAATATATTTAATATATACATTAAAGGGTTTTTTTAAAAAGTAAAAAAAAAAAGAAAATAATAAGGAAAATGTCAATTATATTCAAATTAATCAAGAAATGAAAAGTAAAACCATAGAAAAATCAGGAAAGGTGCCAAGTAATTTTACAAAAAATTTGGGAATTTTTAAAAGTCAGAAACTATTTTTAAAAATTAAAATAAATGGGTAAAATAAACAAAAATAGCAAAAAATAGTAAAGTCAGAAACAAAAATAAAATAAGGTCCCCAATATTTGTCACAATATCATTGGATCATTCCATGATTTTTTCAGAATTTAAAAATGTGTAAAAGTATTTTTAAACATTTTAAATCAATCAAATAAGTGTAAAATTCATAAAAAATACCAAAACACAAAATTAAATTATGAAAAAATAAAAATCAGAAAGAGAATAATCAAAAATATTTTTCATAATTTTTTTGGAATTTTGGACTAAAAATGAATTTTCTAGTATTTTTTGAAATTTAAAACAATAAAAATATATATATAAATCAGAAAAAGAAAATAAAAGAATTAGATGTGGACCAT